GGGGCTGCGCAGAGCCGGCTCCCCCATCCTTGTCTGCACCCGCGTGGGTCGGCAGCGCCACGGAGCGGCCCCATCCATCGATCCAGCACAGCCTCTGCCGGTGCAGGCAGCAGGGGAGGAAACAGCCCCTCTGCCCTGCCCCACGTCCACCCCGCGCCTCTGTTGGACCCCAGCCCCAGGTCTTACAACCTCGGATGGCAAAAGCTTCACCCTGCTAAAAGCCAGCGCTCCCTGTCAGCTCTTTAATTTTCTTTCCTGTTGCGGTAGCCAATGAACACCTATCGCTTTCCATCAGAAGCCCTCAAAGCAGTAGACAAAGGCAATACTGTCATTAGGCAAAGGCCATACTGTCCCTTTTTACAAGGATAGAAACAGAGGCACAGAGAAAGCAGCAGACTTGCCCAAGGTCATCAGGAGGCAATGACAGAACTGGGAGGAAAATCCCAGTCTCCTAAGGCCCAGCACTTGCAGAGCCAGGCAGCCTGAAAGATCATCCATGCACTAATCTGCGTAAAGATACCCACTCAGCAGATCTCCCCATACGACATTTGCAAATGGGGACCAAGTTCCCCAGCCCAGGTTTGTGGACTGAAGGCCAGGACACTGTCAGCTCAGGATGTGACCCATCTGGTGGGAATTCAAGGAGGAATGAAGGAATCCGGCACCGCACCTGCCAACCCAGAGAAATCTATATGCGGCAAGTATGTGCACATGCCTCCCTCCATCTCAGCGGGAGTCAGACGTGCGTGCGGCCACGAGGACAGCGAGCGGCCCCGGCTCCTTGGGGCACTGACAGCAGCACGTTTGTTTGCAAAAATTAGCTAGCAGGAATATTAAAACTTGATATTAAGGCTCTGGAGTCCACTAACGTTAAACTGCACGGATATTCTCTGTATTGTAACCCAAGTGCCCCTGGGGAGCAAGGAGCATGGACAAGAGATGTTGTCATACACCCCCATCCACGGCTGCTGCTTCTATGATCTTATTTTTTGAGCCTTACTGATCTGAAAAAGTAATCTCTCATCTCTAAGATGTGGTAAGGGGCTCTTCTCTTACTGAAGCGCCCTGCAAGCGTGCCGTGCTTTTCTGAAATATGGTAATGTATTCGTCTTACTGATGGCCTCTCGTATAACTACCACGGCTTTCCTACGGAAATACAAGTAACTACAGCAGATTGCTTGTCTCGAAGGCTGGAATAGAAGTGTCAAATACCAGAGAATCGCTGCTCAAGTCAGGAGGCAGTTGTCAGAGGAACCAGAAGCATTGACTTCCCCTGAACTACAAGGCCATCACATCCCACTGCCACATCCCACCGTCACATGCAGCAACGAATTCCCCTGGGAACACATCTCCAACAGAGCTCAGATTTCCCAGTTAAAGGGAGATGCTGGACAGGGATTAAGAACCTGGCACGCTGGCCCTATTTTAAAATTGGACTAGGGAAAAAAAAGGAAAAGCAAAAGAGAAGAGCCACCAATAAGCTCTCAGCCTGGAATCAGCACTAGCATTGAACGCTATCAAGTAAAAAACAAGTACACAACATCTAAAGACAATAGAAAATTCCTCCTTCCAGCTTTGTGCATCAAGTCGGCCTAATGCAGGCTCTCTGGCTTCTCCAAAGTCAACAACCATTCTCACTGAGTCACTGCCGAGTTGTTAGAGGTCATTTGCCATAAACCCACACCCTCCTGCCCACTCCCACCTAGGCTAGGTTAAAGCAACTCCCAGGATAAGCGCAAAGGCCTTTCACCTCAGGGCCTCACCCTTCAAGTCACAAAAAAAGGTAATAAACATTGTAGGGAGAAAAAAGGTAATAAACATTGTAGGAAAAAGCCCCACTCACTCCCTGCTCCTCCAAGTGCAGTTTGAGCCTGTGGCTCTGCCTGATCCCCCTCGGGTTTAGCCCAAGCCTGGCCAGCCCAGCTCACCTCCCTAGCTCGGCGCACCACAAATCCCCTTCCTTCAAGAGACCTGGGAGCTGCAGGCTTCTCCCCTGCTTGGTTGGGTTGGATTTGGTCATTAGGCTTTGCGCTTCTCTCAGCTGAAGAGAGAAACTAGGGTGAAGTGAACCCACGCGGCAGCCAGGGGAAAAGGGAGCGAGGGCTCTCCAGCGGCCTGGTCCCCCAGGACCGGCTCCCAGGAACAGGCCAATGACGACGGCCACAAGTGGGGTTCTGCGTGCCAGCACCAGCTTTCGAATTAACGGATGCAAGAGATGCCAGCGATGGAGTCGGCAACCCTGGCCCCGTCAGCTCCCAAGGAAGTGCCTGAACTCACAAAAGAAGGCTTTAAAATATACATATACACAACACATGCAAGTGTGTGTGTATATCGGGGAAATACGGTCAGTAATTTTACGTAGGCACTTTTGGTCAATGCTGACACAATTAAACGTATCTCACAATTTATGTCTACTGCAGGGACAGTCTGAGGACATTGAGGAGAAGCATAGCAGGGTTTGTGCTCTCTAGCAAGGCCGTTACCACGAGCACGCCTCTCCCGAAATGCCTGGCTCTCTCCAAACGCTTGGCTCGTGGCCTCTGCTGCTCTTCAGGATCAACATACATAAATGAAACTGTCCTGCGAAACACGAGACAGAAACCCAAGCACCAGCTATCTCGTCAGATCAAGCCCAGGGCTCAGACAAGGGCTCTCAGGAGCGAGGACGGGGGAAGCGTGGGACCACAGAGAAATGCCTCATCCTGGAGGTGGCAGAGCCCCTGGGACAGTATCTCTGGTGGGAGGTCCCGTCTCGGGGGGGGCACAGCGTTTTGGGAGGAAAAGCCACAAAGGGCTGGAGCTCTGACACATGTCTGTAGCCACAAAGACGAGAAAACCAGACTTGCCAGGACCTCATGCTGGGCTCTTATCCGCTCCGCGACAGCGACGTGCGCGTGCCCGCCTTCACTTGCTGTGCACCAGCCTCGCCACCACGGAGAACCCACAAGGGGTTCATCAGCTTGGCCGGGCACCGTGTCGGGCAGACACCGTGACACAAGGACCACCATGAGTCGCTCAGCATCCACAGATGGACCAAAGAGCACTCCACCATCACTCTTTCTTCTCCCCGCCACACCTTTGGTTACAGTTCCCCTAAGTCCCTGGCAATTTTACAGCTATTCAACATGCTTCTATTAATATAACAGCATAGCTGGCCTCGTTAGATTAGCCATTCTTCATAGAGGCATATTCTAAATTGGGATGCACATTGCTAACCCCTTTTCCTTGGTGCCCTCGACAGCTTTCGTGGTAACGTGTTCAGAGGTGCCCTGTGCCCAGCATCGTCCCTCCGCACCTCCCTCTGGACAAAGGCACCTCTGGCTATTGCACCTCTGGCAAAAGCATTGCTATTGCACCTCTGGCGAAAGCATTGCCTCTGGCTATTTTACAGAGATCCCTCTGAGTCATCTGCTTAGTTAAGATCAGACGAAAGTGCAAGTGCCATTTCAAACCGCATGATATGACAAAGGATCAGCAATTGCTATTTAACTTTCAAATACCTAAACACCTCTGGCTCAGCTTTAATTAGTTTTAACTCCTAAAAAATACCAGCAATTTAAGCATAAACAAGCAAAAATATTTAAAATGAGTTTGTGTCTATCAGCTGAGGCTTTAGCCACGTGAAAACTTCATCTTTCATTGCAAGCATGTTTTGGGTGTAGGACTGCTAGTAATCTAATTTTGCTTTACTCTAAGCCCTTCTGCTGTGCTTTGCTGTGAATTCAAAGCAGGTCCGGACAGTTTGGAGGAATGCAGGATCTAGCAGCAGCAGCTGCCAGCCTGCTGCAGCCCCAGCCTCCCCGCCGGACGGAGGGGACCGGCTCCAGGAGGTCGTTCGGATTCACCCCAGGCAAATCTGTTTTGTTTGCCAACCTGGGCCAGGGGCACGGCGCTGCCACATAGGACCCTGCACACACAGGCCTTTGGCCAACCATCTGCATCTTAAACAAAGGCCAAGGCACACGTGCATCTCCAGACATGGTGCAGCCAGGAAACCTCTGCTCTCTGGAGTGTTTTTGCCCAGGAGGAACACGTGCATTCGCTGGGGGGCTGAGTGCTGCTTGCACACACGTCCTCCTCTTACCGCCAGCTGCGCCAGACACGCTGCAAAGCAACCTGTGCCAGTCCAATTACTCTTCACTCCACAGACTTCAGGTAACTCATCTACATTTTTTCCAGATTCTCATCATTGCTCATTAGTAAGTGCATTAGCATCAAAACATCATCACAGGGAAATCACACCTTGTGGGAATGCAGCTCTTTGGCTCTCAGGGGCTGTGCTTAGGGCCAAGGAGGAAAGAACTGCACAAACATCGCAAAACAAAAATCAAACCACAACAAAGATTACCTGTTCATCCCTGGTAGGTTGCCCCAGAAATAGCGTGCTCTGTGGGCAGCTGATATCTTGATAGCGTCGATCATAACTGGGTTACACTGCAGTCCAAGAGAGAAAGGAAGAAAAAAAATAATTAGGATAGTCGGTGCAAATCTTTTACTGAGACCTTCCTTCCACAGGTGAGCGGGACCTCGAGCGTGCTCCCGTGCAGGCGCAGCAGGGCCCCCACCGAGCCCCGCTGCTCCCCCAGGGCCCAGGGAAGCGGTGCCTGGGAGGCAGCCGGCGGGCTCAGCCCTGCCCAGCAGGGAAGGACATTCTCTGCTGCATTGCAGAGAGTTTAAAAAAACCTCAACAAATCCTTTCCTAATGATTTAGCCCAAACAAACCCTTGTTCCACATCCACAGAACGCGGCCTGATCTGCTGCATGGGCTCCCGAGCAATAGCCACGACCAACAGGCAATGAAAAGCACAGCACGTTTCAGGGCTGATTTCTCTGGGCCACGAACAGAGCTGTCGGCCTCAGGGGAGACTCTTACAGCACAAACTAGGCAGGCTGCAATCCGCGTTACTACTTAAACCAGAGCTTTGTCTTGGTTACCACGGAAATAAAATTGCTTTCCAGTCCCTTACCACCCTCTCCCTGGAAATAACAGAGCATTTGCTCTGAAGAACAGAAGCTTTCCACAAGGCTGGAAATAATTTTACCCTGGATAACCAGTGATTAGCAGCTAACCTGCTGAAGGTCAGAGGAGACACTGCACCACAGGCAAGATTAAAAAGCCGATTCCTAGCGAGTGCATCAGGCAGGGGATGTTCCAGCATCAGGGCCACGTAAAACCCCAGGCCATACCCTCACAGCCCTGCCACAGTGCTCCTAGGCTTTTCCCCACAGCTATCCCTACCTCCAAAAACCGAGAAATGTCCCTCTTGTCATTGACTCTCATGGCCACCACGTTCTCAAACATCCAGAAGAAGGGACGTTCCTCTCCTGCCTTGGGACGAGCGTAGTTAAGGAGATGATAAAATTCAAAGAACAGCCTCCCGGTTCCTTCTGCAAGGGAAGAAGGTGACACGGCGTCAGGACCCACTGCGGCACCATGCCGGGGGCTGCGCGCACAGCAGGGCGAGGGCCTCGGCAGTCCCACCAGCGAGGAGGTGAGGGGGGCTGTTTGCAGAGCTCCCTGTGCAAGTGCACCGTGCTCCCTGCCACGGTCCCTCTGGTCCGGTGGCGTCTGGCGGGTGCCCGGCCTCCCTGGAGAGCAGGACAGCCCTCCTGGGGCGCTGCCCACCAGAAACGAGGCAGAAATGACCAACATTTTGCAGATGTCACCCCAAGGCTAGCAATTCAGAAGGCAGCCACGGCCAGTGTGGACACAGTCTGAATCGTTTCCCCGGACACTGAGGTGGCCCCACACCCCGCCGGCACCCGACGGGCACCCAGCCCCACCGGAGACAACGCAGCCTTACCGTACAGCCCCTTCCTGGCAGGATTCACAATGGAAATATCGTTAGAGGGGCTGCCACCGATCACCAAGTCAAAGGGACCCCACTCTTCAATCTAGAGCAAAGCGACAGACCCAGTTAGGAGGCACCAGGCAGCCAAGCCTCTCCCCTCCGGCAGGGGCGCGGGTTGCAGCATGGGCTCTCGTTCACTCCTGCCACCTCCCCATCTCAGGGGCTGCGGCGATTCGATCCGCCTTCCCCAGCCCTCCCGCGAAAATGGTGCTCACGTTTCTCTTGGTTATGTTCCTGACATCATGCACGTAGGTGATGTTGCCTTCATGCCGCATGGTTCCCACAGCGATGGGGTCTTCGCAGATCTCCGAGGCGATGTACTTCTCCACTTTAATGCCCAATTCCTTCAGCACCAGGTAGCCTGCCAGGAGACAAAAAAGGGGGCCTGAGGTTGCACTGCTCTATTCAGTCTTCCAGCCTCCTTTGCAAGTACAGAAGCCCAATTTCACCACTCTTGCTCATCCTGGTCATGGTGGATACGGCCAAAGGCAATTTTTAGATTAGCAGAATACACATTTTTGCCTGGAGTGACTTCTTTCCTCCAGGCAATTTTCAGACAGGCATCCAAGAAAACCACAGTTTTGATCCCAGGAAGCAGAACGCCAATGTTGAGCAAACTGGTGTCAAACTAGTCACCCCGAGATACTTCTTCACTTGAGCCCAGCTTAAAAACACTCCCACAGCTCCCACTTCTAAGTCAAATCAGCCACCTGAGAAGGAATTCAGCATGGCAAGAACATCTGGGAGCAAAATTCCCCACACGGTCCACCAGTGCCTCCTCCGCAGCCCGTCGTCCAGCAGGAAGGAGAGCACCTGGCCCCCAACCCTTCTCACCGAGCTTGCAGAGGCACCTTGAGGCCACACAACGGCTCACTGCTGACAGTGAGTGCTGCCGCGCCATCATAAAGATGCTCTTCGAGTTCCTCACCTGTTGCTATGCCGTCGAATAAAGACAGCACCCTAATAGGCCTCCTCTTTGTGGGTGGGACTGCTGGGTATATCTTGGGTGCATCCTGCAATGAAAGGCAGCAATGAAGGCTTGGCTCCTCCTGCAGCAAGCTCTCCCCCTCCAAGCAGTGCTGTAAGGCTCTACAGGGTCAACGCAAACCTCGGCACTACAGGCACCTCTCCGCCTCCAAGAGCGCCTGCCACCCATAAGAGCCCAGCAGCCTCGGGGAGAGGGCATGTGGGGACAACGAATGCAAGACAAAGCAGAGAGCTGAGGGGTCCTGTGCAGTTCCCCCTGCCCTCCGCAGCCCTCTCTTCCTCCCACCACCCCCGCCTGCGGCCCTTACGTATTCCTGTCCTTTGTCACTGGTGAAGAAGTCCTGCAGGCGGGTGTTCCAGTCCTGCCGGCGCTGGAGGACCCCGTAGCTCTTCTGGGGCTGGCACATGTAGCAATTCCAGGGCTCTTGCTCTTTTGCCTTTGCTGACGTCCCTCGCCCCACCAGGACCTCCAGACACTCGACACAGAAGCACCTGCCCAGGCCCTTACGTATTCCTGTCCTTTGTCACTGGTGAAGAAGTCCTGCAGGCGGGTGTTCCAGTCCTGCCGGCGCTGGAGGACCCCGTAGCTCTTCTGGGGCTGGCACATGTAGCAATTCCAGGGCTCTTGCTCTTTTGCCTTTGCTGACGTCCCTCGCCCCACCAGGACCTCCAGACACTCGACACAGAAGCACCTGCCCAAACCGCAGCGCCTTGTGCTTGTCACCCCCAAAACCCCTCCAGGGAACGCAGCCCCCTGGGGTGCCTGCGCCCACCCTTCCCCCAGCTGCTTTAGCGCCCTGGGGTGCCTGCGCCCACCCTTCCCCCAGCTGCTTTAGCGCCCTGGGGTGCCTGCGCCCACCCTTCCCCCAGCTGCTTTAGCGCCCTGGGGTGCCTGCGCCCACCCTTCCCCCAGCTGCTTTAGCGCCCTGGGGTGCCTGCGCCCACCCTTCCCCCAGCTGCTTTAGCGCCCTGGGGTGCCTGCGCCCACCCTTCCCCCAGCTGCTTTAGCGCCCTGGGGTGCCTGCGCCCACCCTTCCCCCAGCTGCTTTAGCGCCCTGGGGTGCCTGCGCCCACCCTTCCCCCAGCTGCTTTAGCGCCCTGGGGTGCCTGCGCCCACCCTTCCCCCAGCTGCTTTAGCGCCCTGGGGTGCCTGCGCCCACCCTTCCCCCAGCTGCTTTAGCGCCCTGGGGTGCCTGCGCCCACCCTTCCCCCAGCTGCTTTAGCGCCCTGGGGTGCCTGCGCCCACCCTTCCCCCAGCTGCTTTAGCGCCCTGGGGTGCCTGCGCCCACCCTTCCCCCAGCTGCTTTAGCGCCCTGGGGTGCCTGCGCCCACCCTTCCCCCAGCTGCTTTAGCGCCCTGGGGTGCCTGCGCCCACCCTTCCCCCAGCTGCTTTAGCGCCCTGGGGTGCCTGCGCCCACCCTTCTCCTCTGCAGCCACCCCATCCCGGTGGCGCTGGCTCCAGCAGGGCCAGTGTCACCGGAGCTGGACCCTGGCACCCCGCTCAGCCTGGCACGGCAGCACTTACCCTGCACGTCTGGCAGAGGCCTCCCTCGAACAGCGGGTGGAAGGTGGCCGGGTTTTTCCTGCCGCACGACAAGCAGCTGTCTGTTCAGAAAGAGCAGAGCCTCACTCACCGAGCTGCTTCCCCCCATGGCAGCGGGGCGCAGCTGGGGCTCTACGGATGTGCCCAGCCATTACCTCTAGGCTGTGCAAGAACAGCAACCGAGAGCACTTGGGGTCAACGGGGCCAAACTCAGGAGCAGAGACCTGCACCCCTGCCAGGTCCCACCTGTGGCTCTCCCAGGGATCAGGCCCCCGGGGGAAGATCTGCACAGCAGCCTATTCCCCTAAGAACAAATGATGGCCCTGCAGTCTGCAGTGCCTTCCCTGATTCCACATGGTGCATTTAAACAGGGAGACCCATTATTTTTGTCTAGTGCTGTACCCAAGCACGAGCGTTAGCCCAGATTTTCTGTCAAGAGAGAACAGACAATTAATTACCTTCAAGACTCCCACTGTTGTTTGCAACTTCAGAAACCATTTGCTCTTTATAAGAAAGAAAAAAAAACACACAGATTTATTAATTCCTTAACATAACAAGCTTCAAATGTTAGCTAGCTAGAACTGCCCTATTTCTTGCATTAAAACAGACGCAGCTTGGCTGAGCATTACGTGGAGAAGGTAGGCTATGTGCATACGTGCAGTCAATACTGAACAAAACTAAGGTAGCAGTCCAGACACGTGAGCCAGGCAAGGAGCAATAGAGCTACCTGTACCTTGGCCGAGATGCTGCCTACGTGGATGCATACATCAGGGATGATGCTGTCACAGTCAGCGTGCGTGCAGTGCATTCAAACACATGAAGGTGTTGGGGAGGACAGTGTATGGAGGACTGTGTCTGCATGCACACGATGTATGCACCGAAGCGTGGCAGATGCAAGGGGTACACAATGACTGCTAAGCTAAGCTCCCCTGTTTGTAATGCTCCGACAAACAGATAATTTCTGAGCTGAGCAACTAATGAAGCTCAGATCATGGCTCTGCGCCTTGCAGTTTGGTTTGCTGGTGTCTTGTAAGGCACAGACTGCCACATCTGCTCCCGAGACTGGGGCGCAGCCACAGCATCCCTCCTCCACGTTCACTCTTTGGTGCTTCCTCGAACTGAAGCTCTTCTCCGAGCCCACTCCCAGAGAGGTTTCTTCTTGGTGCTTTTCCTATGTGCAAGCCAACCACGTGCTGCTTCCCCCACCTCTCGCTCCCCGTTACCTCGGGTCTGATCCTCCTCCACCCGCTGCTCCTTGTTGTTGTTGCAGGGGTTGGTCTTTAGCCTCTTGGTGGGGGGACACTGCTCGAGGGGCAGCACCTCCTCCGTGCCGTTCCTCAGGGCTCCGTTCTCTGCAAGAGAAACGTGGGTCCGTGGGGACGAGCCACAAGCCCGGGCACTCGGGGATGACTCCTTCAATGTCCCGCAGCGAGGTGGGCGCCTCGGTCCCACCGAGGCCCTTCCCGACTGCCCAGGCGCCTCCGTGGTGCAACGCAAGAGGAGGTGTCGCAGCCCCGCTCAGCCTCCTCCTCCATCACCGCACTAGGAGACAGGCGCAGAATCCCCCTTTTTGCTCCTTCTCATCCTACGCTAAGAAAACGCCCTCATGCCACCACAGCTCCAGGCTAGCAGAAGACCACAAGGAAAAGACCCAGCCAGACACTGCACACAAACAGCAAAATATTTCCTTGGAGCTGGAAGTTTCTTTCCCCCTCTCCAAGGAGGGCTGCGTGCCCCCTGCTCTTCCTAAAACCCCAAAGCCCCTGAGGGGCCCCAGGTCACATTTGATTTCCAGGAGCAACGGTTTTGAGGCCCCAGGCAGGTGCTTTACTCTGGCCTTTGGCCAAGCTGCTCCTGGGGAGCTCCCTGCCGGAGCGAAGGGCAGCGGGGCGGCCAGGCCAGGCACGCTCCCACCGTGGAGCGCACGCCGGGCTCGGCCGGGCCACCCGCAGCCAGGCCAGCTCCATTGCCCAGCTTTTAAAACCATCAAACCTGGTATTTTAGGGGGTTTCAGTCCCTTGAAGCCTAAGGGTTTGAAGCCGGTGAGCGCCCAGTCGATCATGGGCTTCAGCTGCTCCTCTAGAGACTCCCCGGGGGTGGTTGCAAAAGTCTTCCCTGAGCGGCTCCTCGCAACCTGACAGCAAGAGAAGAGAAGGGGCCCGG